GTCACCATGATGAAGTGACAACCACGGTGACACGAAGTAAACAGACTATGAAAACATTCGTTTTGTAAAGACATTAGAAAACAGGTCGTCGGTGTAATAAACTACCAGTTCACAGGGAAAGCTCGGAAAAAGTTCAGAAAAATGAACGAATGAAAGAGAACGACAGAAGACGCTAATGAAAAACGTTGTCGTCACGCAATGTTGTCGACAAACGGGATGCACATCACAAGCTGCTGATTACCTGCTGCTGCTGCAGCTGCTGCTGCGGCGGCTGCGGCGGCAGGAGGAACGTTATGGACGTAAGCAGGAACAGAAGAAGAACGGAACAGAGCCGGATGGAACGAATTCTGGGAAATTTGCGCGGCTAGAAACAAAACCAATGCAATAGTCAAACAACAGCAACGTACAGAAAAATTATTCATAACTGCAAATATAAGTTAAACATGAGGCCTTGCATCTGAGGAGTAATTACCTTCTCTATCTGTGTCATGCGCTGCAAGCATCCTAGTTCGAAAGCTCTGTGTCATTCAGAAAAACCTCTGGATTAAGGATACTGACTTAATTGAATGTGGTATTTATTTAACTCCCGTGAATTGAACATTTCTACCAATCATTTCCATATTTAATTTTTTTAAACAGACATTAACAAGCAGCAACTACATTAACAATTTACTTCAAGTTTTTTAGGCTAAGCAATATATATCATCACAAGCTAATATTAAATGGTTAAACAATCAGCTGGGTGAAAAACGATGAAAAACGCTACTGAGATTCGAATATCCAAAATTACAGTCTGAAACTCTACGGGTAAAGCTAAGTATACGTGGGCTGAAAAAGTTCATCATGCAGATCATGGCTTGCAGTGCTTCACATGCCTTTCAGGGAGGTTTGATCAGAAGAAGGTTACTAACACTACCAACAGGGGCCGAGGAAAATGCATTCATCGTCGTTTTCCAGGGCTAACAACATATGAACGGAAAGACAGCCAGAATTATGGACTGACCGCTATAAATATGAAATTAAAATAAGGTAACGCCCGCAACTGCGGCAATAACCATATTTGTGATTTCATGCAGGACGCAATGATACTGAATAAAAAAGGACAGCAGGTCGCTTTGACAAACTCCACTGGTGACGTCAAACCGTTTAAGATGGTGATATCTTTCAGCTCTGAAGCCGCATTTGTTTCTTTGAGCAGACTTTTCTTATTCAGTTGTGCTATCATCCATGTAACTCTATAGTGTCGAATACACGTTAGGGTTAGGGTGTGTGGCGATGAATTGATTACCTACTGGGCTACCGGTAATTCCAGATATTTCCCGTGCCAGGGCAGAAAAAAACCATTGCACGGCTGAACAATCCGTTTGAACACGAAACGGTTGTTCATGCGTTAAACCTGCCTAATGTGTTCGCAAAGAACGATTCATGACGTTCTTCAGTCATCTGCGAGAAAACCCTGTAGCGGCACAAGGGTAAGTAATCCGTCCTCATCCGCTGGTGCAACTGGCGTTAAGTTCCCGTCTCAAAAATCAAGCTGATTACCTTTAATTGAATAACCCAGCTGATTCTGTCTCTTCCAGTCTTTGAAATCAAGAATCTTAGCAAGAAGTTTTGCAACGATTATAT